ACGTGGTGCGATCATCCCCCTTGCGCGGAGTGAGGCTTCTCCACCCCGCACAACATGATCTACTCGACCACCATTATGGTGGGGGAGGGTGTTGACCCCAATAACACAATCTTCGATCGATGAAAGCGGGTCCCTAGGTGAAAAAACGGTTTTCGGGCACCCCTTCTAGTGCTTCCTTCAAGGGACCACGAAGCGCGAGTTGGTTGTCGGGCGAATCGAAGCTCCGTGTCAGCCGGGGCGTATGTACGCGTGTGGGTTGATCGAGAGCTCCCATCTACAGGTACGTTGCGAGCATGTGACCGAAATTAACTATTGAGATAGCTGTGCGGAAGTACCAAGGACACTCGTGTTCATGGCTGGTGACTGGTCACCACCCCNTCTCCACAACGGAAGCAGAGTATGTGGCAATTGCCGACGTCTTGAAGGACGTGCTTTTCTTGAGGCAGGTTTGGCCTTTTATGTTGCCAGATGCGGGTATGCCGTGCATCCCGGTGTTCGAGGATAATCAGGGAGCGATTCAGATTGCGCATAACCCGATCACGAACTCCAACTCGAAGCACATCGATGTACGGCATCACTTTATCAGGGAGCTGGTTGAGAGGAAAGAGATTTCGATTACTCATGTGCCGACGCAATTTCAGCATGCAGATTTCTTGACGAAGGCTATTTGCAAGGAGCCTTGTGCGTTGCACCGTGACTTTGTGATGAACTTGCAGTGAAGGAAGTGTTTTGGGGTCGATTCGTATTCTGTAGCGGAGAGAGAAAGAGAGAGACGAGATTGGACAAGAGAAAGAGAGAGTCTGGTGAAGGTGGTAAGAGTGTTGGAGTTGTGTTGGGATTGTTCTAGGTTGTTTTGGAGGAGTTTTGGTTGTGTTTGGTTTTTCTTGATTGTTTTGGAGGAGTTTTGATTGTGTTTGATTTTTCTTGTGATGGACTTGGAGGATTTTGGATTGTTTTGGCGAAGATATTGGTTTTTGTTTGTTTTGAGAATTTTCTTGGTTTGTTTTGGAGAGATGGTAGAGAGAAATTTGATTTTTCTCGTAGCATGACGATGCATACGAGCAGGGGGGCTATTAGATATATTGGGGGTACTCGTAGCATAGTATGACGGTTGAGATGTTAAGTACGTACGTACGAAAACTGCAGTGATGAGATGCGGAGGAACAGGAACTTTCTACATAGTTTCCTTGGTTGTGAGAGGCTTTTGGTGAGGATTCAGAGAGATTCGTTGTGTCAGAAAGCATGAAGGCGTGACTCGATACCGTGATGGTTTGACGAGCACGAGCACGCCCCCGATTAATACAACACGTATACAATACGTTTCCCAACACGTTTTTACCCATCCACGCCCCGTCATGGGCCACCCGCTCTAAACTCCAAGCACATAGAACTGGGCCACCCGAATCATCGATCACGCTAG